TTAGTGTAAATGCATACATTTATATGTGGTTTTCTCTGTTCTGCATAATTGGTCTATTTGTCTGTTTTTATGCCAGTACCATGCTGATTTGGTTACAGTAGCTTTGTAGTATATTTTGAAGTTAGGTAGTATGAATCCTCTCCAGGTTTGTTCTTTTTGCTCAGAATTGCCTTGACTATTCAGGTGTGGGAATTCACTCAGGATGGTGGCAAAAATATTAAGGGAAATGTAGTAGAGAAAAGTTATAAAATATAGTCTCAAATCCTTTTGGAAGGCCTAAGGGTGTTTTCATAGTTTCATTAGAAGTTTTGGCAGAAGGCAGCCTAAATCCCTCTTACATTTAGTTAATAAGTGAAGCAAATAGCTAGGGTATGTGGGGGACTTTACCTAACTAACTTGTTTACTCATGTGGTCTTAAAACTAACTTTTGAGCCAGATGGCCCTCTTGGGGGAGGTTGACTGGGATATTATCCACTAACGGTGTTTGCTTTGGGCATTGGAACCTGGGCCTTTGATTTTTCTCTGCAAGTGTGTTGACTCAAGTCTTTTGTCAATTAAGCTTTACTAAATAAATGTGAGTCTCACTGGCTGGGGAGGGCTGGTGGTTGCAACTGTTTACAGCACTTTCCAGGGAGTCTGTAAGAAGCCGCAGGGACCCTCAGCTGAACTTACTTTATTCACCTGTCGTTGAGTCAGGGTCTGTAGGACAGACCCCAGCAGGTGGTGATTCCAACAGTGGCATCCAAGATGGGGTGACCGCAACATTCAGGGTCTTTTGCAGCTCCATGTAAATTTTAGGATTTATTTTCTTTCTCTTCCTTCCTTTCTTTAAATGTTTACTATAATTCAGCAGTGAAGCCATCAGCAGTATGGGTTTTTCTTTGGTGCAAAACTTTTTGTTATGGCTTCAATCTCATTACTTGTTACTGGCTTATTGAGGTTTTCTGTTTCTTCGTGGTTGAAGCTTAGAGGATTGGATGTGTCCAGGAATTTATCTTTTCTAGGTTTTCTAATTTGTTGTCATATAATTGTTAATAATAGTATCTATCTTTGTATTTCTGTGGTCTGAGTTCTTGTGTCTTTGGTTTTCTTTCTTTTTCATAGTCTACCTAAATATTTTTTTCATTTTGTATTATCTTTTCAAAAACACCAGCTTTTGTTTTATTGGTCTTTTGTATGGTGTTTTTAGTCTCACTTTCATTTTTTTCTACTCTGCTCTTTATTATTTCTTTCCTTTTACCAATTTTGGGTTTGTGAAGTCTTTCCCAAGGGTAATCAAGTCATCTTCATCTTTCTTCTGTGCACGTGTTTTTTTTTTTTTTTTTTTGGCTCTGTTTAAGATTTTTTTTTTTTGTTTCTAGTTTTGACAATTGGATTATGACATTCTATTGTGTAGTTTTCTTCATGTTGCTTGTCCTTAAGGTTTGTTGAGCTTTTTGAGTCCATTGATTTATAGTTTTTTCATTAATTTCAGGAAAGTTTTGGCTATTACTATTTCAGATGTTTTTCCAGTCCTCCTTTTCCCCTGCTTCTCACCTTAGGGATCTCCAGTTGCATGTGTTAAAAGAAAAACTTAAGACAAATTAAACTTAACAGAGTTTAATTGAGCAAAAAATGATTTGCAAGTTGGGTAGCCCCAAAATGAAAATAGATTCAGAGCAACCTTGGTTCTGCCATGTGGTCAGAGAGGATTTATGGACAGAAAAAGGAAAGTGACAGAAAATGGGTGAGGTACAGAAACTGCTGGATTGGTTATAGCTCAGCATTTCCCTTTATTTGAACACAGTTTGAACAGAGGACTGCCTGTGATTGGCTGAAACTTGGTGATTTGTATAAGAGTAGGTTACTGTCTGTATACACATCCAGTTAGGTTACAGTTAACTGTATAGCAAAGCCTTTAGGACAAACTTAAAATATGCAAGAGGCAGTGTTAGGCTCAACTGAATACATGTATATTAGGTTGGTTGAAGTTGTCTCACAGCTTACTCATGCTCTGTCATTTTAAAAAAATTCCTTTTTCTTCCTGTTTCATTTCAGACAGTTTCTGTTACTGTGCCTTCAAGTTGACTAACCTTTTTGTTAGCAATATCAAACTTGCCATTAATCCATTAGTGTATTTCTAAATCTCAGACATTGTAGTTTTTATCTATAGAAGTTTGATCTGGGTCTTTTAACATATTTTCCTTATTTTTACTACTTTTTGAATATATGGTATATAGTTATAATAACTTTTAATGCCCTCTATTCTAATATCTGTGTCAGTTCTGGGTTGATTCGATTGATTATTCTTCTCATTTTACATTGTGTTTTTCCACCTCTTTGCACGCCTGGTTATTGCTGATTGGATATCACATGTGTGTGTTTTTTTTTTTTTTTTTTTTTTTAACCATGTTTAGTGCTGGCTATTTTTGTATTCCTATAAATCTTCTTGAGCTTTGTTTTGGGATGTAGTTAAGTTACTTGGTAGCAGTTTGGACTTTCTGATATTTACTTTTCTAATTTGTTAGGTAGATCTACAGAAGGGCTTATTCTAGGGCTAATTATTCTCCACTATTGAGGCAATATCCTTCTTAGTACTCTACCCAGAGCCTGTGAATTAAGAGTTTTCCCAGTCTATTTGGTGGGATCAGGCACTGTTCCTAACCATGTGTGAACAGTCTGTTCCTTCTCATTCTTTAGGCGTTGTTTCCCTGGCCCTGTGTAGTTAGTTTCCTTACATCCATGTGCTGCTGTGTATCCTACTAAATATTTCAGGGGTTTCAGCTGCTCTGTGCAGCTCTCTCCTATCTGATGCTGTATCCTATGAATCTAACTGTCTTGGTTTCTCTAGACCATTTCAGCTCATTTCAATCATGAAGTCTTCCTGGGTCACCCTTGGTTCTTCTAACCTGTTTTGGCCTGAAAAATCTCTAGGCAATAAACGAGCAATTTTAGGGCTCGCTTACTTTGTTTCTTGTCTCTCACAGTTCACTCTGTTTTGTTGCCTGATGTTCAGTGAAACCACCGTTTCATATATTCTGTCTTTTGCCATTGTTGTTTCAGATGGGAGGGTAGATCTGATCTGGTTATCCTGTCTTCAGCAGTAGTGGAAACTTCCTGCAGGATTTTACTTACGGAGTTTGACAGGCTATTCTAAAGTTCATTTGTAAGAGAAAATTCACAATAGCTGTGTAAATTTTGAAGGAAGAACAATGAAGAGTGGATTGTCATTCCACATATCAAAACATGATAAAGCCATATAGTTCAAATAGTTTACTATTTGTGCAGGAATAGATGAATAGATAAATGACCAAGCATAGAGAGTGTGTGTGTATACACAAACAAACATGAATTTATGGCAAAAGTGACGTTTCAAATCAGGAAGGGGTAGCATTAGGATAATTGATTGTCCATTCAGAAACCAAAAATTGACTCTTAAAACTGTATTCATTAGAATATGGATTTAGCATCTTGTGACAAAAACTCAAAGTAATGGTTCAAGAAAGGCAGAAGTTCATTTCGCATGGAAAAGTCTGAATTGTGTAGCTAAACGGGAACTCAGTTTCCTCTTGTTTTTTGCCTTTTCATCCATAAGGTGTTTTCTTGTCTCTGTAGTCTAAAATGCCTCATATTCTGACCTGTGGAAAGGGGGAAGTTAGGTGAAGGGAAGGCATATTTTTCCTCTCGACGGCATAGTACAACATTTTCTTGTATCTCTTCTGTTCCCAACCTCCAGGTATGTTGGAAAATAGTCTTTATTCAGGACAGTTCTGAATAGCTCAGTGCCTAGCTAAATGTCCTATTAACGTAGAAGAAGTGGAGAACAGATATTTAGGGATAAGTAGCAACCTAACCTTTGCCATACCTAACAAATTTCAAATGGATTACAGAAAAATATAAAAATGAAAAGCTGTAAGACTAGACATATACATAGAGGAGTCTGTTTATGAACTATAGGTTACAAAAGTCTTTTCTAAACAAGTGGCAGAAAGCATAAGCTATACAGGATGATATTGATGGCTTTTTACTACATGGTAATTAAAAATGGCTATATGACAAAGTTAAGAGAAATCACAGAAAAGTAAATATAACATATGCAAATGAAAAATTGTATTCATGATATATAAATATACATGCAAGTAAAAACATTGATATTCATTATATCTAAATGAAAAAAGTAATATTCATGTTATATGTTTTTACCTGTAAATTGGTTAAAAACAAATACCCCAGTAGAAAAACGGACACAGCGTATGAACAATCCACAGAGAAATCCAAGTAGTTCATAAACATTAATGTACATTCCCTGTCTCATAATTTGAGAAATGCAAATTAAAATGATATCTTTTGTTTGTCTATAATACAAGTAACCATTGTTAGCCAAAGTATGGGGAACATGGTTACTGTCTTGCAGTGTTGGTGGAAATATAAATTTGTACAGACTATTTGGAGATCAGTTTGGCAGTATCACAATTAATGTTGCAAAATTTTCTGACTCAGTGGTTTCACTTCTAGGAATCTTGTAAAAAATAATCCACATGTGAACTAAGTGATGTCTGGACAAGGATGTTTATTGTGTCATTGTAGCAACTAAAGATCATAAATTATATCAATGAGGGAATATTTAAAAAAATTATTATACATCCATGCCATTAATGTAGCTATTAAGAAGAATGAAGTGGTTCTGTGTAGATAAACATAAAATCTTCAGAATATATTAAGTGAAAAACAGTCGCAGAATGGCATATGTAGAAAGAAACCATTAACATAAGAAACCAAACCCGAAGTGTGTGTGTCTCTTTCTTTTTGCAAGTTTATAGAAAAAGCCTTAGAAGGGTAGATACCACTCTGTATAGTGCTTACATTTGGAGAGGGATGTTGGGGAGATAGCGGTTTATCTCATATTCTCCAATGTGGCTGGAAATTTTTTTAATAGAGACTAAACTTATATTTATGTATTGAACAAATCATGACTGTTATAAAAAATAATCTAATCTTTTGACTTTCATATGTTTTGCTAGGATTGGTCCAAAGGAAGATTTTTTCCATTGTTTGAAATGTAACTTATGCCTAGCTATGAATCTTCAAGGAAGACACAAGGTATATAATTTAGTTTGTATAATTTTTAAAGTATTATAGTGTTTTTGAAAACAAGCTTAAATTCTATTATATTTTGTAAGCATGCTAATTTTCATATATTTCCAACTACAACTATATTGCTTTTTTGAAAAGCAGTATTAACAAGTAGATATTTAAAAATATATGCCACGGAATATCTGATTTACAACTCCATTTCTTCTCTATAGTGTAAGAACGTTCATATCACTTATTAGCATAATGTTGACAACTTCCAGATTGGTTTATGGGTTCTTATCATTGGCACTGCTTTTAAGAATAACCTTAAAACAAGAAGAATACTGAGTGGTGTAACCTTATTAGCACCACATTCTAAGAAAATTCAGAAAATATTTTAATATTTTTTTTATAATTAAGTTATACATATTTTAAATCTGGACATAGGAATTATGTTACAATCCCAGGCCCTTTTTCATCATTTAAAAAAAATCCAATAAAGTATTACATTTATAGTACTGCTTCTACATACTATAAGAGTTTAGAGAATGTAGGATTGGTGTAAAATGAAGTATAAATGATAATTGTTCAAATAGAGGAAATTCCAGATAAGGGAGAACAGTGTAAGTAGCAACATTGTAGCTGCTGAGAAAGAGAGAGATAGACATAATTGGAAAGAGACTGTTTGAAATCATTTACTTAGCAGTATAGTAGGCTCAATAGAAGATGAGGGTAAGAAGTTATTGCAGAAATATATTATTAGCTAGAATTTGGCCTAAATAGTAAAGTGGTGAGGAAAATTGAGATGAATAATGAGCATATATGATCAGGTAATGGTATTAAGGAAAAAGAATGAGGCTTAGTAAAGATGACTGAAGATTTTCAGCCTCAGCTTAAGGTACTTGATTAGTAGATTGTAAATTTTTTGGAGATAAGAGATTGAGTTTGGTTTTTAAACTTGAGTTTGGGGTGATGGCAAGCTATGTTAGTGGAGTCAGTAGTATCTTATGGATTATATTTCTATGATGTTCTGGTTTCCGAAGCATGTGTAGTGTGTGTGTGAATGTACACACACTAATTCATTGCATCCTTACCTCGGTATTTGCATTCAATCAACTCAAAGATGCTGTTGATGATCAGATATGTTGTGATTGTGGAGATGTTAAAATGTATGTGTGAAGTTCACTTTACAATCAAATGAAATATGTATTAGTTTTATAAATAAGAAACATAAGAGTAAAGAAGTGGTGACTAGTCCAAAATCTCAAGTTAGTAAATAGCAGAGCTAGGATTACAATCTAGTTTTTTAAACTTAGTATTAAGCTTATTATTTTGAGGGTTTTTCTCCCCACTATACTGTCAGCTTTCAAAAACTTGTATTTATTTTTTGTTATGGTTTTTGTTTTGTTGTTTTTCAGTAATCTTTTATTGTCTGTATTACTAAGTGATCTTGCCATTTATTAAGTGCTTCCATTAAAAACCTGGGAGTCTTCCATGGCACTCTTTCCTCCCTCCATTTAATCAGACATTAAATCTTGTCAAATTAAGAACTCGGGCTCTGAAGTCAACCTGCTGGAGCTCCAGTTTAATTCTGCCTCTTATTAATTAATGTGTGACTTTGGAAGTTACTTACCTTCTCAAGGCCTCCAGTGCTTTAACTGTACGATGGTATAGCAATCATAGCCTATTTCATCTAGGATTGTGACATTTAATTGGTCTTTTTTTTTTTCCCCATTTATTTATTTTATTGCATTTTAGGTTTTGGGGTACATGTGAAGAACATGCAAAATTGTTGCATCGGCACACACATGGCAGTGTGATTTGCTGCCTTCCTCCCCATCACCTACATCTGGCATTTCTCCCCTTGCTATCTCTCCCCAGCTCCCCACACCCCACCGTCCCTCCCCTATTTCCCCCCAACTGACCCCAGTGTGTAGTGCTCCCCTCCCTGTGTCCATGTGTTCTCATTGTTCAACACCTACCTATGAGTGAGAACATGCGATGTTTGATCTTCTGGTCTTCTGTCAGTTTGCTGAGAATGATGGTTTCCAGGTTCATCCATGTCCCTACAGAGGACCCAAACTCATCGTTTTTGATGGCTGCATAATATTCCATGGTGTATATGTGCCACATTTTCCCTATCCAGTCTATGGTCGATGGGCATTTGGGTTGGTTCCAGGTCTTTGCTATTGTAAACAGTGCTGCAATGAACATTCGTGTGCACGTGTCCTTATAGTAGAACGATTTGTAATCCTTTGCATATATACTCAGTAATGGGATTGCTGGGTCAAATGGAATTTCTATTTCTATGTCCTTGAGGAATCGCCACACTGTCTTCCACAATGGCTGAACTAATTTACACTCCCACCAACAGTGCAAAGTGTTCCTATTTCTCCACATCCTCTCCAGCATCTGTTGTTTCCAGATTTTTTAATGATTGCCATTCTAACTGGCGTGAAATGGTATCTCATTGTAGTTTTGATTTGCATTTCTCTGATGACCAGTGATGATGAGCATTTTTTCATATGTTTGTTGGCCTCATGTATATCTTCTTTTGTAAAGCGTCTGTTCATATCCTTTGCCCACTTTTGAATGGCCTTGTTGGTCTTTTTCTTGTAAATCTGTTTTAGTTCTTTGTAAATTCTGGATATCAGCCCTTTGTCAGATGGGTGAACAGCAAAAATTTTTTCCCATTCTGTTGGTTGCCGATTCACTCTAATGACTGTTTCTTTTGCCGTGCAGAAGCTGTGGAGTTTGATTAGGTCCCATTTGTCTATTTTGGCTTTTGTTGTCAATGCTTTTGGTGTTTTGGTCATGAAGTCCTTGCCTACACCTATGTCCTGAATGGTTTTGCCTAGATTTTCTTCTAGGGTTTTTATGGTGTTAGGTCTTATGTTTAAGTCTTTAATCCATCTGGAGTTAATTTTAGTGTAAGGTGTCAGGAAGGGGTCCATTTTCTGCTTTCTGCACATGGCTAGCCAGCTTTCCCAACACCATTTATTGAACAGGGAATCCTTTCCCCATTGCTTGTTTTTGTCTGGTTTGTCAAAGATCAGATGGTTGTAGATATGTTGTGTTGCCTCCGAGACCTCTGTTCTGTTCCATTGTTCTATATCTCTGTTTTGGTACCAGTACCATGCTGTTTTGATTACTGTAGCCCTGTAGTATAGCTTGAAGTCCGGTAGCGTGATGCCTCCCGCTTTGTTCCTTTTGCTTAGAATTGACTTGGCTATGCGGGCTCTCTTTTGGTTCCATATGAAGTTTAAGGTGTTTTTTTCCAGTTCTGTGAAGAAGGTCATTGGTAGCTTGATGGAGATAGCATTGAATCTGTAAATTACTTTGGGCAGTATGGCCATTTTCACGATATTGATTCTTCCTAACCATGAACATGGAATGTTTTTCCATCTGTTTGTGTCCTCTCTTATTTCGTTGAGCAGTGGCTTGTAGTTCTCCCTGAAGAGGTCCTTTACGTTCCTTGTTAGTTGTATTCCTAGGTATTTTATTCTCTTTGTGGCAATTGTGAATGGAAGTTTGTTCTTGATTTGGCTCTCTTTAAGTCTGTTATTGGTGTATAGGAATGCATGTGATTTTTGCACATTGATTTTGTACCCTGAGATTTTGCTGAACTTGCTTATCAGTTTCAGGAGATTTGGGGCTGAGACGATGGGGTCTTCTGGATATGCAATCATGTCGTCCGCAAATAGAGACAATTTGACTTCCTCCTTTCCTATTTGAATGCCCTTTATTTCTTTTTCTTGCCTGATTGCTCTGGCTAGAACTTCTAATACTATATTGAATAGCAGTGGTGAGAGAGGGCATCCTTGTGTGGTGCCACATTTCAAGGGGAATGCTTCCAGTTTTTGCCCATTCAGTATGATATTGGCTGTTGGTTTGTCATAAATAGCTTTTATTATTTTGAGATATGTTCTATCAGTACCTAGCTTATTGAGGGTTTTTAGCATAAAGGGCTGGTGAATTTTGTCAAAGGCCTTCTCTGCATCAATTGAGATAATTGTGGTTTTTGTCTTTGGTTCTGTTTATGTGGTGAATTACGTTTATAGACTTGCGTATGTTGAACCAGCCTTGCATCCCCGGGATGAAGCCTACTTGATCATGGTGGATAAGCTTTTTGATGTGCCGTTGCAATTGGCTTGTCAGTATTTTATTGAAGATTTTTGCATCTATGTTCATCATGGATATTGGCCTGAAGTATTCTTTTCTTGTTGAGTCTCTGCCGGGTTTTGGAATCAGGATGATATTGGTGTCATAAAATGATTTGGGAAGAATTCCCTCTTTTTGTATTGTTTGGAATAGTTTCAGAAGGAATGGTACCAGCTCCTCTTTGTATGTCTGGTAGAATTCAGCTGTGAACCCATCTGGACCTGGGCTTTTTTTGGGTGGTAAGCTCTTAATTGCTGCCTCAACTTCAGACCTTGTTATGGGTCTGTTCAGGGTTTCGGCTTCTTTCTGGTTTAGGATTGGGAGGAGGCAAGTGTCCAGGAATTTATCCATTTCTACCAGGTTTATTAGCTTATGTGCATAGAGTTGTTTGTAATAATCTCTGATGATGGTTTGAATTTCTGTGGAATCTGTGGTGATATCCCCTTTATCGTTTTTTATTGCATCAATTTGGTTATTCTCTCTTTTCTTTTTTATTAATCTGGCTAGTGGTCTGTCTATTTTGTTGATCTTTTCGAAAAACCAGCTCCTGGATTTGTTGATTTTTTGAAGGGTTTTTTGTGTCTCTATCTCCTTCAGTTCTGCTCTGATCTTAGCTATTTCTTGTCTTCTGCCAGACTTTGAGGTTTTTTGATCTTGCTCCTCTAGCTCTTTCAGTTTTGACGATAGGGTGTCAATTTTTGATCTCTCCTTGCTTCTCATGTGAGCACTTATTGCTATATATTTTCCTCTAGAGACTGCTTTAAATGTGTCCCAGAGATTCTGGTATGTTGTGTCTTCATTCTCGTTGGTTTCAAAGAACATCTTTATTTCTGTCTTCATTTCATTGTTTATCCAGTCAACATTCAAGAGCAAGTTGTTCAGTTTCCATGAAGCTGTGCGGTTCTGGGTTAGTTTTTGAATTCTGAGTTCTAACTTGATTGCACTGTGGTCTGAGAGACTGTTTGTTATGATTTCCGTTCTTTTGCATTTGCTGAGGAGTGATTTACTTCCAATTATGTGGTCAATATTAGAGTAGGTGTGATGTGGTGCTGAGGAGAAAGTATATTCTGTGGATTTGGGGTGGAGAGTTCTGTAAATGTCTATTAGGTTTGCTTGGTCCGGGTCTGAGTTCAAGTCCTGGATATCCTTGTTAATTTTCTGTCTGGTTGATCTGTCTAATGTTGACAATGGGGTGTTAAAGTCTCCCACTATTATTGTGTGGGAGTCTAAGTCTCTTTGTAAGTCATTAAGAACTTGCCTTATGTATCTGGGTGCTCCTATATTGGGTGCGTATATATTTAGGATCGTTAGCTCTTCTTGTTGTATTGATCCTTTTACCACTATGTAATGTCCTTCTTTGTCTCTTTTGATCTTTGTTGCTTTAAAGTCTAATTTATCAGAGATGAGAATTGCAACTCCTGCTTTTTTTTGCTCTCCATTTGCTTGGTAAATCTTCCTCCATCCCTTTATTTTGAGCCTTTGTGTATCCTTGCATGTGAGATGGGTTTCCTGGATACAGCACACCGATGGGTTTTAGCTTTTTATCCAGTTTGCCAGTCTGTGTCTTTTGATTGGGGCATTTAGTCCATTTACATTTAGTGTTAATATTGTTATGTGTGAATTTGATACTGCCATTTTGGTGCTAGCTGGGTGTTTTGCCCTTTAGTTGAGCTGGTATTTGTTCTTCCTTTATATGTGTAGCGCCTCTTTCAGGAGCTCTTGTAGAGCTGGCCTGGTGGTGACGAAATCTCTGAGTACTTGCATGTTCCCAAAGTATTTTATTTTTCCTTCACTTATGAAGCTTAGTTTGGCTGGATAGGAGATTGTGGGTTGAAAGTTCTTTCCTTTAAGGATGTTGAATATTGGCCCCCACTCTCTTCTGGCTTGTAGGGTTTCTGCGGAGAGATCAGCTGTGAGTCTGATGGGCTTCCCTTTGTGGGTAACCCGACCTTTCTCTCTGGTTGCCCTTAGTAATTTCTCCTTCATTTCGACCTTGGTGAATCTGACGATTATGTGCCTTGGGGTTGCTCTTCTTGACGAATATCTTTGTGGTGTTCTCTGTATTTCCTGGACTTGAATGTTTGCCTGCCTTGCTAGGTTGGAGAAGTTTTCCTGGATAATATCCTGAAGAGTATTTTCCAGCTTGGATTCATTCTCTTCGTCGCATTCAGGTACGCCTATCAAACGTAGATTAGGTCTTTTCACATAGTCCCACATTTCTTGGAGATTTTGTTCATTCCTTTTTACTCTTTTTTCTCCAGTCTTGCCTTCCCGTTTTATTTCATTGAGTTGATCTTCGACCTCTGATATCCTTTCTTCTGCTTGGTCAATTTGGCTGTTGATACTTGTGCATGCTTCGCGAAGTTCTCGTGTTGCGTTTTTCAGCTCCATCAATTCACTTATATTCCTTTCTATTTTGTCCATTCTCGTTAGCATTTCGTCAAATCTTTTTTCATGGTTCTTAGTTTTTTTTATATTTGGTTAGAACATGTTCTTTAAGTTCACAGAAGTTTCTTACTACCCACCTTCTGAAGTCTGATTCTGTCATTTCATCATACTCGTTCTCCCTCCAACCTTGTTCTCTTGCTGGTGAGGAGTTGTGATCCCTTGTAGGAGGAGAGGTGTTCTGGTTTCGGGTGTTTTCATCCTTTTTGTGCTGGTTTCTTCCCATCTTTAAGGATTTATCCACCTGTCCACTTTGTAGTTGCTGGCTTTCAGATTGGGTCTCAAATCTTTCAGATTGACGTTCTGTTTGTTGATGGTGAGATTATTTCTGTTTCTTGGTTTTCCTTCTGTCAGTCTGGCCCCTCTGCTGTAGGTCTGCTGAGGTTCACTCCAGGCCCTGCTTGCCTGGGGTTCACCTGCAGCAGCTGCTGAACAGTAAGGGTTGTTACCAGTTTTCTTCTTCTGCTATCTTTGTCCCAGAAGGATACCCGCCTAGTGTCAATCTGATCTCTCCTTTATGAGGTGTCTCTTTGGATATATAGGAGTCAGGGAGCTGCTTGAGGAGACGGTCTCTTCTTTATAGGAGCTCAGATGGTGAGCAGTGAGCTCTGTTGTTCATTCAGAGCTGCTGGGCAGGTACGTTTAGGTCTGCTGCAGCAGAACTCATAAACTGCTTTTTGTTCGCAGGTGCTCTGTCCCAGGGATTTAGGGCTTTATGAGTTTTGGTTATGCTGCTACCTTCTCTTTTTTTTTTTTTCCCTTCAGAGCTGTCCTGCCCAGCAAGGGGGCAGCCTAGTCACTGTCTGCCTGTAGAGGCTTTGCTGAGCTGCTGTGGGCTTCGCCCAGCTGCCGAGTGTACTTCCCTGCAGTCCTGTTTATATGGGTGTAATTAGAACTGCTTTGGCAATGGCGGCCTTCCTCTGTTGAGGCGGAGTCTCTCTGCTGTGGCGAGTTGCCTTGGCAATGGCTGGCTGCCTCAGCAATGGCACGTTGCCTTGGCAACGGCGGGCTGCCTCAGCATTGGCTGACTACCTCCGTCGTGGCGGGCTGCCTCGCTAATGGTGGACGCCCCTCCCCCACAGAGCTGGACCCTCCCAGGTTCAGCTGCGCTTGCTGTGAAATTCTCAGTCCAGAGTTTCTGGTTGCTGTTCTTTTGTGGGGGTGGGACCAGCCGAGCCTGATCGCCTGGCTTCCTGCCTCAGAGCCTTTTTTAAGTTGGTGTTCAGTCGTCTGTTGAAGAGGCGCCGGGGTCTGTTTGTTTTCCCCTGTGGCCACTCACTGCGCAGGCTTAAACAGTGGCACTGAGGTTTGTGACGCTTTTTTTTTTTTTTTTTTTTTTTGCCCTGGAATCTACTGTCCTGGTTCCCTGCTCAGTCCCCTTTTTAAACAGACAAATGGGCGACTTCCTGTGGCTCCAATTGCCAGCCAAAAGGGCACCCGGACCGGTGTATTTTGTACACAGAACCGCTGCTCTGGGGCGCTGACAACGCAGCTGCGCGGGGCAAAGCAGCTGCGCTGGCCGAAACAGCTGCGCTGGCGACCTGTGGAGCTCCTCCGCCTGGGAATTGCCTAGTCTGTGGGCAATAAAAATGCGGCGTCCACTCACTCTCTACGCTTTCACTGGGAGCTGCAATCCTGAGCTGTTCCTAAACGGCCATCTTGGATCCTCCCCCTTAATTGATCTTATACAGGTACTGTGATGAGCATGGCATGTAGTAAATTTTAATAATATGAACTATTACTATTACCAATATTATTAGTAAGTTGTTGAGCTTACTAATTTAGGTCACTGGCTTTGGGGCAAAACATACATAATATGCAAAGGTTCCAAATCTTATTATCTTTGGATCTTGGGTAAATGTCTTGAATTCCTAAGTCACTTTCCTTATCTGTGAAATGAAGGTAATCTCCGTAATGTTTATTGAGCATTTTCATTGTATCAGGTAATGTGCCAAGCCTGAAATAGTGTGAGAATTAAATAACTATTAAACAACTCTTTTCTGACATATAAGAAGCATGTATTAATGTTAGCTTTTATTTTTAGTAAGTTGGTTTTGTTAGTTTTTATTATTAATACTATATATTATTAATATATATTAATATTATATAATACCTGACATTTACATATAGTTAAACTTTTGCTAATGTGAATTTCTCTTTTAAACAGTGTATTGAAAATGTGTCCCGACAGAATTGTCCAATATGTTTGGAGGTAGGCTTAAAATATTTTTTACTTTGGAAGTCTCAGCTCTTGAATTTAAAATACTTGGATGTTTATATTGTCTTCATACAAACACTGAAATTTATTTCCTTGACAGGACATTCACACATCTCGTGTTGTTGCTCATGTCTTGCCATGTGGACATCTTTTACATAGGTAAAGTAACATTTTTTTCTCAATGATGTTTGAAAATAGTAGAGATAGTTTTTGTTTTACTAAAATAATCGTTTATTTTCTTTCAGAACATGTTATGAAGAAATGCTGAAAGAGTGAGTGTTTGGGATTTTAAAAATAATTGTAAGATGTTTGATTTTGTTATGTGTGTGGGGTGGGGAGCTGGACAAACATTGTTACTTATACTGTACTGGGCATAGCAGATATTTATATTGAAATGGGTAGCATAGATGAATAGTGTTAAAACTGGACAAAGCGTCTTGGATATAGAACTACATACCTTGTCCATATGTTCCTCTTAAGCCTCGCCTCCTCCCATTTGGAGATAGATACCTCTTTTTTTTCTGGCAATGTATACCAGGAAGCACAGTCTATGCCAGGTGCAGTTATGTTGTAAAAATGTGAAGAATATTGCTAAAATTTGTTAGGCTGTTATACTGGCCAAGTATAATGGACTACAAAGAAAGTATGTGAAGCGATCATTTAGAGCTAAGACTTTATTAATGGAATGGATATTAAAATTATGTGAAAATAATTGAAAACAGGAGACTGGATTTTGGTCCTACAAATTGATGAGCAAAAATTTGAAGAGCTAGATAGAGGTGATTTTGTTTTTTTTTTTTTCAAAATTTTAGAAAGGAAATAATATGATCTGGATAATTTTAACAAAAAGAGTCTCTTTGCATGAGTATATTGAGAAATTAAGATTGTTTAGCTAAGGAGTAGCTTAGTTTGTAAAAATATATGATCTGTATTCTACAAATAATATGGACTACTACTTCTCCATTTTATAGGACTGAGAAAAAAGACTTAGTTTTAAGTATACAGGAATTAATTTAAAAGTTTTATAGTGTGAAAGTTCCTAGGTTCCTAAGCGATTATGCTGAAATAGAGGATAATGCCTATCTTGAATGATTCATGTGCCAATTAGCTTGCATCTTTTTGTATACCTCAGTTAATATATTCTTTATTTAATGTTTGGAAAATAACCTTTCTATCTCTGTTAGAGGCTACAGATGTCCATTATGTATGCACTCTGCTTTCGATATGACCAGGTATTGGAGACAGCTAGATGCTGAAGTAGCACAGACTCCTATGCCATCAGAATATCAGAACATGACTGTGGATGTGAGTAGAATCAGTACTTAAAACTTCGTAGATTCCTTGTTGACACTCTTCTTTATTTTTGCCCTCCTGCTCAAATTTGCCAGAAGAAACTATTGGTTTGACACAGATGCTAATGTGATGATTAATAATTTTTAAATTTTAGTTAAATAATTAGCTCAGATTAGGAAAAATGTCCTAAGGATACCTTTATGTAGTTTTTTCCAACACTAGATGGCAGGCAAAAACTTTATTCTGAATTGTTTACACATTACTTGCCAGTCAGTCAGTAATATAAATGGCTAGGGTTGGATCACTGGTGGGACATTTTAAGTATGTTTTATTTTTAATTATTTTACATTTTATTTTAGGAGAACATATTTGCTGATTTTTGAGATGACGTTTTGGTTTTTAGTGTTTGTTACCCTTTTTATTCCATCCGAGACTTATTTTTTTTCAAGTGCACATGGGAGACCCCTTTTTCACTTCTGTTGTTCACAGAATCATAAGCAAGTAACAAATTGAGAGAGAAGAGTCTCATAATTACAGAGAAGTCTTGATCCATGATCTTGGGGGAAAAACTGTCCACACTAAGATGCTGCTTGCTTCTGGGGAGAAACTTTCCTAGTTAACTTTACCTTCAGGTCTCTAATGGGTGTCCAGTTCCAAGAGTGCGGAGAGTCCCTTCTGAATTGTCAGATAATGAACCTAAGGTTCAAAGTCCAGAAGCTTTATTGCAGTGTAGATTGGAAAGGCAGTCTTTCTCTGATGTTCTCAGAAGACCCAATCTCCAGATTCTAGATTGTGAAGGGTTTGATTGTTCTTAGTCATTGGATCATCAAAATTTTCTTTACCTGGTGAAAATACATTGGTATAATGCATAAAAATCTTATAGCATTTAGTCATATCAGAGTTTAGTAGTGGAAGATACATGAGGTTCTGTTATTAGGTGCATATGCTTTCCAGTGATGATTTTGTAAGGGGTCAACTTATGTTTTCCACTCCAATCGGATCTGATTATCATCAATCTTTGACTAAGGCAATCCAGTCAATTCAGTTAGTTTTGCCTAATGCTATTGTATCTGTAATATCTTATTTAACTACTTTACAACTTGTCCAGTGAAATAAGTACCCCTGTCACTGGAACTTTCTCCAGGAATGTCCCATGAGAGAAACACATTTTATAATAACCTTTTAGCCACTGTAATAGCATTAATCCTCTTGCATGGGATACCTTCTATACAACCAGAAAACATGCACTGAAAATGACAATTGAATGTAATTGCTCTATAAATACGTAAATGGTCCATCAAGTAGCAGAAATGTGTACTTGAAGTTTTGATTATCTTCCCAGGATTATGGTTTCAACAAAGCAAACGGTCATAAATTATTTTAGCAATTTAGCAACATATATAAATTTTATATAAAATTTGGATTAGTTTATCTTTTCCATGATAAGCCATGGAATTCAGAACTTTTAATAATGGAAGCTTTAAGGATTTACGAAGGGCCAGGTGGCTATCCAGGTTCTCTGTGAGTCCATGCTTAACATTGGATTTGTGTCCTCTAAATACCAGGTTAGGTGCCTACCACTGATAACTGAAGGGTTATTATAGATAATTTGACTTGGATTGTGGAGTTGATTGAAATCTAAACAATTTCAATACTGGCTGATTTAATATGAAAAGCTGGCCAACTATTTTCTTGATATTCAATTTTTATCCTGCTTGGGTTAGCAGTTTTATAAACCAGTTTCTCCATTAGAGTTCAAGGAATTGTTATCCAGTCCAAGTCCTAAAATTATCAGAAATCTGTATTTCAGAGTGCTTGTCAGGGTCCTTTTCATCCTTTCACGAACCTTCTTGAAGACACAGTACTCTAGGATTTTGCTTGCTTGTGAAGTTTTGAGAGAAGCTGCATCAGAATTAAGCATTTAACTGTGGAAACAACTTAAAATGGTTACAGTTAAAGATGTGATTAACAAAGACATTGGTTATTTCTGTGGCCTGCAATAACACAATAACCATAATTAAGACTGATAGCACATACCCAGACAAAAGAATTTTAGAATCTCATATAATCTTGGAATAAATTTTAATAAAAAATATAACACAAAGGTTAAATATCATTTTTTATTTGACAATGCTTCCTATATAATTTAACAAATCAAATAATCCTTTTTTTCCTCTCTTTTGGATGCTGCAGGGACCCTTTGTAGCATGCCAAACTTAAAGGTTAAAAAAAAAAAAAGACTTAATTTTTTTTCTTTTTAATTGTACTTTGGGCTCTGGGGTGCATGTGCATATCCTGCATCCTGCAGGATTGTTGCATAGGTGCATACGTGCCATGGTGGTTTGCTGTCTCCATCCCCGGCCCCCGTCACCTACATCAGGCATTTCTCCTGGTGTTATCCCTCGCCATCCTCCCCAAGCCCCTGTTTTCCCTCCCCTCTTCTCCACCCACCTCCCGCCTAGCCGAGTGAGTGTTGTTCCCTTCCCTGTGCCCAACTGTTCTCATTGTTCATCACCCACCTATGAGTGAAAACATTAGGTGTTTGTTTTTCTGTTCTTGTGTCAGTTTGCTGAAAATGATGGTTTCCAGATTCATCCATGTCTTTACAAAGGACACGAACTCATCTTTTTTTATGGCTGCATAGTATTCTGTATTTTCTTCGTTCATTCTATCATTGATGGGCATTTGGGTTGGTTCCAGGGAAAAGACTTAATTTTTAAGTTGAAATTTGATTTTGGGAAGCTTGTCAAGTGTGTTGAAGATCTAAAGCACTTGACCAAAATAAGATCACAAGTCACTGTAAAATCATAGTCATTGTGTATAGCCAATATGAGAATTAACAGGTTTTAAAAAGCAATTACTTTTACTCTTTGAAACTCAGTTTTCTAAACAATCAAAAGTCCTAAGACAGTTTGTGAGAAAATCTGTCTCCCCTTGTCTTCTCTTTTTATTATTTGCAGTTTATTCAAAAAAGTACACAAAAATATTTTACTGTCTTATTAATACTACATGAAATCTCTGTTCGAAAGAGAAAGCCAGATTTTACCTTTGTAGTATCAGGACTAAAGCTAATTTTAATAAAACCTTATAAACAAATCCATCCAATCTGTCAGTTTTTGACCACAGAAGATTTCCATAAACTTTTATATTTCCTTATAAACTTTAAAAATTCCTTCTTTTGAATGTTCTATATTGTAGTCTACATCTTTTTTATTCCTCGAATTTGAAACAACCTTTAAGTAACTTCAAGCTAGACCAAAAAATTTTTAAGCACATCTTTGTAACTTTTCTCACCAAAAGTATGTCTTACTTATTTTTTATTATTTTTATTTATTTATTTTTTTGAAATCTCTGCAACCTCTGCCTCCCGAGTTCAAGTGATTCTCCTGCCTCAGCCTCCCGAGTAGTTGGGATTATAGGTGTCTGCTACCATGCCTAGCTAATTTTTGTATTTTTTAGTAGAGATGGGGTTTTGCCATGTTGGCCAGGCTGGTCTCGAACTCCTGACCTCAGGTGAACCACCCGCCTCAGCCTCCCAAAGTGCTGAGATTACAGGCATGAGCCACCACGCCAGGTCACTTGTTTTTACACTGTGTAGGGAATTGTTTTTCTTTATCTGGTAGTTTTAATTACCTATATTAACTACAATTTTAACTCTTTAGTAATCCTAATTTCCAGTGAAAACCCTAAGAAGTAATTTTGAACTGGTTTGTATCAGTATTTGTAGATGGAAACCATTTTAATTTTTTGGAAGGATATTTCCTTAAATGATTAATTATTAAGAGATCTAAATATATTTACCTTTTCTATGCTATATAAAAATAAGATGCCAAAGTATATAAACTTAAACTTATAATTAATGTTTTAGCATTTTAACTTACAAATGACTTAAAAGTTTTATGATTATTTACTTAAACATATGACTCTAAGATTTTAAATTACTGAAAATAAATTTGAAATTATGACACAGGTGGCAGAGAAGAAGCCCTAGTAGGCTTGATTCTGCCTTGTAGCTACAGGCCTAGGCACTGAGAACATGTACACAGGCCTCACCTCGTCATACTTCATAATCTAGAGGTTCAAAACCCAAAACATAAGCTCACAGTCAAATCAATCAAGTGTTGAATTATATTCAACAGACACCTTTGAAGCCACTCCTATTTTACTAACAATATAAAAACTGGCTTTATTTACCAAGTGTTATCACATACATATAACACTTATAGGAATACGGACATAGGCAGAAGCAGAACTTAGAGCTTTTCCTAAAGGATTCTCATTTTTCTATTCCCCATTCAGACTATCAGTTTTCCAATTACCTGTTTCATTGCCCTAAGCAGTTGTTAGCTAGGCAGCCCTAAGTATGCATTTCTAAAGGGCCCACTCTTAGGTTAAACAAGGTAGAAAATTTATATCTCAAAAGCACAGAACTAAAACTTTACACATAAATATTTACCATCATTTGCTCAAACCAAGGAAAAAATGGTGTAAGTAAAAGTTAAGACAATATGGCCAGAAAATCACCTTAAACAAAGATGTGACTTGTTATGTAAATTTAAAACAGTGCTAAGAGTTCCTAGTATACACAGACACCTTTACAAATGGAAATTTCTTTTATACATATAAATTTATTTTACCAAAAGGGTTTCAGGACAGCCTTCAGTATAGTATAGCCAGTTAAATGCCAGGAAGATGTTTTAGTTCCATAGATGGTTTTTAAAAATTTAACTGTTGTTTCTTAGCTAAAATTACTGAGTTTAGGGTGGAGCCCACTAAGAGAGTAGGGGAAAGAAAACATTCTTTTTTATTGTTTGCAGTTTACTAAAAAAATTAAAATATTTTACCGTCCATCTCTGTGTCTGGACTCAGCATGGATAGATCTGAAAAAGAAGCAAGTCTGCTTTACCTAAGGGCCTATATTTTATAAACATTAAATAGGGAAATGTTTGTAAGATTTTTAACTAGCTTTCTTCTCGCTACCTTTTTGCTTTTTTTTTTAGCCTAACAGGCTAGCTTTCTTTTAGCCTTCAGAGCAGTATTCCAACTAAGCCAAAAGGCTCATAATTTCTCTTAAGCTTTTTATTTGCTTCTTAAACTCTAACAGCTCCTTATGGCCATTGTCAAATGCATTTCTTAGACTGTAGTTTTAGGTGTTCATTTGGAACGTTCCATTATAATTTTAAATTACCTTTAGTAAGATTTTGCCATTTCTTTTTTTTTTTTTTGAGACGGAGTTTCGCTCTTGTTACCCAGGCTGGAGTGCAATGGCGCGATCTCGGCTCACCGCAACCTCCGCCTCCTGGGTTCAGGCAATTCTCCTGCCTCAGCTTCCTGAGTAGCTGGGATTACAGGCACGCACCACCACGCCCAGCTAATTTTTTGTATTTTTAGTAGAGACAGGGTTTCACCATGTTGACCAGGATGGTCTCAATCTCTTGACCTTGTGATCCACCCACCTCGGCCTCCCAAAGTGCTGGGATTACAGGTGTGAGCCACCGCGCCCAGCCCCGATTTTGCCATTTCTATAAGCAAATGGCATTTTATCCTTCTATAAAATGTTTAAAAGGTGTTTGCTGCTTCTGGGGCCTAATACTTAGATTTGTAAATGTAGGCAGAGCCGGTAGATTGCTCAGTTCGTCAGAAATTAAGGATCCTATTTTCACCTTGAAACTTGGCTTTGGCTCTCATATTTCCATGGTACACTTAACCAGTGATTTTTCCCTACTTAAGCATGCAAGAAAAAGAGTCAAAGGGTGCAGGACACAAAAAACCCTGTGAATTTTTTTCCAAAAGCCAAGTTTACATGCCCTGCTGTTTTGCCATTTTACTGTTCTTCTGCCTGACCCAGTCGGACATAAGAGGGCTTTAGCTAGATCCAAGGTAATTGGATCCTGGACCTAATCCAGTTTTTGTTGCAACTTCTGAATCCAATTCAGATAAAAAATGTGTTCAAAAAAACTTGGATAGCTCAAAACACAAATCCGTTGAGCTTTAGACACAAATCCGTGGAGCTTTAGAATCTAAGAGAGAACTTACCATGATTCCTAATTGCTGTGAGAGAGCAGTGGACTCCCAAGAGGCACCTTACTGGGTCCCTTGGTGCTCCTGGGGGTCACTGAAAGCTCTATTTCAAATCGCACTTCTGATGCCAGCTGTTTGAAGAAAAACCTTATACAAATGAAATTTAACAGACCTTAATTGAGAAGCAATTTGTGTTCAGGCAGCCCCGAACCAGAATAGATTCAGAGTGTCTTGACTTTCTTTATTTGGTTGCAATTAGCCTGCAACCTAAAGCATAAAAGGTTGTTTCTGTGCCTTTTGTCTTACGGAGAGTGATCATCTTTTTCCCTTTAATTGAGATGTGTTGCCGTCCCTTCTCAGCCATAGCATTGAGTTGTAGATAAGAATGGGAAAGCCTAGATTGTTTTCTGGCTAGATAATTTTTGGTTATATTACACATTTTCTGAACATCTTCAAATATTTCAGCATACAAGAATAAAAACCACTTAGCAAAGCCAAATGAAATTTATTTTTTGTTTTATTTACACTGGAGTGATTTATAATTCATGTGGATAATTAAATTGTCAGGGCAATGAAAAATCACTTTTGGGATACTAACCGATAATCATGCGATGTTTGACTAGAGGCCGAAGTGTGCTATGTTCCATGTAGATAATTTTTTGAAATAATGGCTTCATTAAGATGCAGTTCACATATCATACAACTCATTCATTTAAATTGTACAATTTGGTACGTTTTAAAATATTCATGTAGTTATGCAAACCCCACAATTTACAACATTTTTATCATCCCAAAAAAGAAATGCTCCTACCCATTAGCAGTCATCCCCTAATGCCCGAGGCCTAGGCAACCACTAATCCACTTTCTTCATTTAGATCATATTTTTTAAAGAATTATTTTCCAAATTATAATTTAGAGCAAATTTGGAAATTTTCTGCTTATTGTAGTGTGAATACTCAAAAGCTAGAGCTCTTCTTGCATAGTGTGTATTGATTTTCAGGTTAACACCTTTGTTATTTTTCAGGTTCTTAGCATTAGAAGAAATTAATTGCTAAACAGCATCTTCTTGTTATTGTAGGCATGAGTGAAGAGCCTCTCTCTCTATTTAGTCAATTTTAGGAATTACTGCTTTTGGAATTTAATTCATTCCTGAGGCAGAGAAGACAGGGAACTTAGTATACTAAACCTAAAAAATAAGCAAAAATATTAATTTTAATACTAAAATATATAAAAAAGTATATATTTTTATAAATATATGCAAAGTCTAAAAATTTTGGTTTTATTAACTGAGATACATTTCTGACTGAAAGATAATGAAATTGTGTATGTTATTTTGAATTGTAAGTATCAGGTATTGATTTGATTATGCCTAGGTTAATTTTCTTGCTTGTACTATTTATACTATTTAATATTTGGAAACTATTTTAAAATAAGCTTTTTTGTTTTTCTCAAATCTGCCTTTTCACTTCCTGAATTCAGAGCCACCTCAATAGCCTTTTAGAGTTTTCAGTGAAAAAAATAAAAAGAAATTTCTACTTTTGGACATATTTAGACTTATATATGTACTTTCACATCTTTAATATGATTTTCAAGGGATTATTATGAGCAGACAATGCAACTTGTATTTATAAGGTTAAAATATTTCATTTGAATTCATCTCTTTTCAGATTCTCTGCAATGACTGTAATGGACGATCCACTGTTCAGTACCATATATTAGGCATGAAATGTAAGATTTGTGAATCCTACAATACTGCTCAAGCTGGAGGATGTAGTTTTTCACTGGATCAGCAATGACCAGCCTATGCAGTACTGGAGAACTTGGCATTTTCTGATATAGAAAAAGGCTTTCCTTGGTATCCTGTTATCATGTGTCATAATCTATGCATTAGAGTTGATGTGTTTTGTACTAGTGTTACAGCATAAAATCATGTTACAAGTACTTAAGGATTCAGGGTCTCTTGATAGAATTTTCATAGCTCTATATTGAATGAAAGCCATGTGCTTGTGTTTGGATTGGAAATTCCTTTAGTGTCAGTTTTTTGGAAGCCAATGATGTTTGCCACTGATATATTCATAGAAATGTATTATAGTTTCATGAAACTTTGCTTTAAGTGACACTATGCACGCAGTTCATTTCTAGTTCTTGGTAGAACTGCACTTAATTCTCAGTAGTAGTCTTGACTTTTTAAGGCTGTGCTGTAGTAAGTTCTCCCCTATTGTTAAAACCTAATTAAATATGCTTTAGAATTTTCTATGAAAGTCCTCTGGATCCTCTAAATGTGAATTTTGATGTAATAAATGCTTATAAAATTATATTAAAACAATGTTTTATAGAAAGTTTTTTCCAAAGTTTTCTGTTTGGCTCAATTAGGTCAGTATCATCGGTTCTATAAAGTAAAATAAATTTTCTTTCTTTTGAGGTATTCTGTAAGAGTAGTTGGGGAAAGTATTATTTAAAATAATAAGACTCTTCCAAAGCCTTAATCAAAATATTAACATTGAAAAAAAAATTTCTTTAGGTTGCCCCAGATTATTTCTTCAAAGAGTCATTCATTCATTTATTTAGTGAGTATTTATTTTGCAACTGCTATGTTGCAGATATGTTTCTAGATGCTGTAGAGACAACAGTGAACAATAAAGACAAAAGTCTCTGTCTTCATATCTGTGCATGCTAGTGTTCATCATATTTAATTATTTTTCTTTATGCAAGGAGTGGATATCTTTATTGTAAATGAATGGAATATTTCTTCTTTACGCATGTGAAAGTAGGGGAAGGGCATGGGATATTCCTGGCAAGATCTCTGATTTCATAATACATTTTGGGTTTATATAATGGAATTAAATATACCTCTTAATTCAGGAACAAAGTTAACAAATATGTTTGATGATTCTGCCGACTTTGACAGTAGTGTCTCCGTAGTAGCTTACCATTAGGCTAGGAAGTAAAATGTACACATATTAATTGATAAGTACTTATTGAGCACCAGTTGTATTTCCAACTTTGATCTATTTGAATCTTTTGTGAATAAGAAAGATAGCCTTTTAACTAGAAAGCCTAAGAGGTTTGGTACTTCTTTTGTTGAAATTTATTTACCTGGATAAAGGTAGCAGTTTGGGACTCAGATCTTTATTCTATCCTACCTTCTTATCTTCTGTATTCTACTCTTATGTTCTTTCCCTTCATCTGTTTCCTTGGCCTGGGCAGAGCAGCAGTGCTGATCTTGATTTGAGAAAGCATGTTTCTGGTATTGCCAGTTAGTATACAGATACAGAAAAGCTGGTTTTCCAGATCTAATCCTTTTTTATTTTAAATGGTTTTGCTCTGTCATTTAGGCTAGAGTACAGTGAAGTGATCATAGCTTACTGCAGCCTTGACTTTCTGGGCTGAACTGATCCACCTCAGTCTCCAGAGTAGCTGGGTCTACAGGTGTGTGCCACAATGCCCGGCAGATTTTTACTTTTTTCGTAGAAACAGGGTCTCAGTGTGTTGTCCAGGCTGGTCTCGAACTCCTGGGCCCAAGCAGTTCTCTTACCTCAGCCTCACAAGGGCTGGGATTACAAGCATGAACCACTGTGCTTGATTCATATGTACTACTTTTTATGTTTGTTATTATTCTGCTAAACCAATTTAAATCATGTTATTGCTTTTAATCATCGAATCATTGGCTCCTTAAATAGGAGTGAGAGTAATTAGGCTTTTCTGTTTTCAATGTCTATGTGCTAGGGTCATGTATTAGCATTAATTACTACAGTGATTCTGTGGTGGTAAGTGGTGTCTTCATATTATAGACAAGAAAGCTGAGGTTTAGAGGTTAAAATGACATGTTGGGGGTAAATAACAGACACTATATGTTGAGTTGGGAATCAGATCCAAGTCTGTGACTACAAACCCACTTTACTGTATTGCCTTTGACCTAAACTTCCATATTGCTAAAATAAACCTCACAGCTAGTCATCTGTCATTGAAGAACTCATGATTTGATAGATCGACCTTTCATTTTTAGGTGACTCTAGTTAGAAAGACTTATTTCACAATCTGATTGTTCCTTTAACTCAGGATCCAAATGTGTCCAAAATAATGCAGAATACATGTGCAATCACTTGTTTATGCTATCCAGTCATGTACTTGAAGCAATTTTCAAAGTCTCTAGGCTACAGTACCCAGGGTTGCTTCAAGTATTGGTTCATGAGATGTCAACTTGATGATTAAAATCCTTCAGCAAATCTCAGTCATAATCAGAATAAAATCTAAGTTCCTTAGCATTCAGTATGCAATATTTAAAATATATTATCTTACCCTTAAATATGTTTTCTTTTTCTGAATTCAAAAATATAGGTTGTACCTCTGGAAGAAAGAAAGTAAAAAACTGAACAATCCTATCTTCCAGAGAGAACTACTGTTAACATTTTAATAGATAACTTCATCTTTCTTTTCCTGTTCTTTTTTATAAAGCTTACAGGAATTCTAAATATTTAGCCAGATCTTAAGTACACTAGAGTTATCTGTCCCTGAAATAAGTCAGGTTGCCCTGCCGCACAATTTGTATCTATAGTTTACTTGTATTATTTTTGAAAAAAGTAAAATACCTTTATGAATTTCTTGGTGCATAGCATCTTATCAGCTTCTTTTATCATTAAAGATTTATGTATGAAAAAAATAAGTGTATATCAGATTGTTCATTTCTTAGTGGGGTCGTCTTAACCAGTACATAGAGCTCTGTATGAGTTAACTTTAGCTTATGTTTGAAGTAGTAGTTTGTTTATGATGTCACAGATTTTAAAATCAAACTCAGTTTTTATTTCTTCACTAAAACCTATTTTCATATTATATACATGTTTAATTTCCCTTTTATTTTCATCATGCATCAAAATAAATTTACTAAGTACTAAAGAGCCAACTTATTTTATAAGTGCCTGGCACTTAATAGGTATTCACTAGTTGAATAGTTTAATTTGCAATGAATTAATTTTAAATGATAGTTGAAAACTATGCCACTTTATTTTTCCTTTGTGTTATTAAAATTTTAATTGATGATTGTATATATTGTATATATGGAGTACAATGTGATGTTTTGATACATGTTTACATTGTAGAATGATTAAATCAACTTTATTGCCTCATACCATTTTTTTTGTGGTAAAAAAAATCAACACTTAAGATCTCTTTTAGTATTTTTGAAATGTACAATGCATTATTTGTTATACTCACCATTCTCTATAATAGGTAAGTAAAGTTTATTCCTGCTAACCGAAGTTTTGTACCCTTTGATCAGTATCTCTCCTTTTCCTATCCACCCCTCTTTCCCCAGTCTCTGGTAACCACCATTCTACTTCTACCAGTTTACCTTTTTTTAGATTGCACAGATAACTGGGATCACATAGTATTTACCTTTTTGTGCCTGGCTTATTTAATTTAGTATAATGTCTTCCAGGTTCATCCATGTTGTCATATGTGACAAAATTTCTTTCTTTTATAGAGCTGACTAGTATTCTGTTGAGTATATATGCCACTTTTTGTTTTTCATTCATATGATGATGGACATTAAGGTTGCTTCCATATCTTAGCTGTTGTGAATAATGCAGCAGTAGACACAGTGGTACAGAAACTTTTTTGACACACTGACTTCAGTTCCTTTAGCTATATACCCAGAAGTGGGATTGTTGGATCATATAGCAATTCTGTTTTTAGTTTTCTGTTTCTGTACTGATTTTAATACTGGCTGTTTTAATTTACATCCCCACCAACAGTGCGCAAGGATTCCCTTTTCTCCACAACGTGTCAATGCTTTTATCTATTTGCTAAGTCATTCTAATAGGTGTAAGGTGATATCTCATGTTAATTGCATTTTTCTGATTAGTAATGATGAGCATCTTTTCGTTGGCCATTTGTATCTTTTAAGGAATGTTTGTTTACATCCTTTGCCCATTATTTAATTGAGTTCATTTTCTTATTATTGGAGTTCCTTATGTATTTTGGATATTAGCCCATTATCAGATGTATGATTTATATATTTTCTTTGAATTTGTAGGTTGTCGCTTCATTCTGTTATTCCCTTTGCTACCCAGAAGCTTTTTAGTTTGACGCCACCCCATGTATTTTTTGTTGTCTATGTTCTTGGGTTTATATCGAAGAAATCTTTGCCCAGACTAGTGTTGTAGAGCATTTCCCCTATGTTTTGTTCTAGTAGTTTTATAGTTTGAGGTCTTAGTTTAAGTCTTTAAACTATTTCGAGTTGATTTTTATATGTGGTGTGAAATAAGGATTCAATTTCATTTTTCTGCCTATGTATAGTCAGTTTTCCCAACACCATTTATTGAAGAGACTGGCTTCATTGTGTGGTGTCGGCATATTAGTTGAAAGTTAATTGCCTATAGGTGTGTTGGTTTATTTCTGGGCTCTTCTGTTCCACTGGTCAACATATCTTTTTATGCCAGTACCATGCTGTTTTGGTTACTATTGTTTTATAATAGATTTTGAAGTCAGGTAGTGTGATGTCACAAACTTGTTCTTTTTGTTCAAGATTGATTTGGCTATTCAGGTCTTCTGTGGTACCATACAAATTATAGTATTGTTATTTCTGTTTTTGTGAAAAATGACTGGAATTTTGTTAGGGGTTGTTACGAGGAAAACCTGGTACTATAATGTCCCAATCAGTGGGAAGGAGCCGAGAGACCAAAGAATGACTGGGACAAGTCCAGCTTGAGGAGCAGATGAGTTTATTAGGATTTAAATATGGGGCAGTCTTGGATGGCAATAGGATATCTCTAGAGCTCTGTGCCATCTCCCATCTCTAAACTGCTTCTAAGCTAATTTTTTGACTCTTTGGCTATTGTGTTTGAGCAATGAGACTGTTTTTCTTGGTATGTTCTCAGTTACTCTCTAGAATGTTTAGATTCTCAGGGACACCTGCTCCTTGCCTGGACACCATGGTGTTGACTCATCGCCGAGCCTTCAGGATTTGGACAATGGATTTACACTCTTAAGCAACCTTGTGGGGGACCTGTCACACTACAGGGATTGCACTTAATCTGTAGATTGCTATGGCTACTATGGACATTTTAACTATGGCTATGGTTCAGATCTGTGTACCCACTCAAATTTCATGTTCTATTGTAACCCTCAGGGTGGAGGTTGTGCCTGGTGGGAGGTGATTGGATCATGGGGGCAGATTTCTCCCTTTGGTGCTATTCTCGTGATAGAGTTCTCATGAGATCTGGTCATTTGAAAGCGTGTGGCCCCTCCCCAACCTGCTTCCTTCTGCTCTAGCCATGTAAGATGGACCTGCTTGCCCTTGACTTCCTGCTATGATGGAAAGTTTTCTGAGG